CAATGGTTTTACATTACCTTAAGTGGCTATAAGGAACCCCCATTAAAAATGGACATGATTAGACGACAGAACCAAAGATAAGAGAGAATGCGAATAGCGCATTAAGTAGAGTTTATTTTCTCCAACTTGTGCTGGTTTATTAAAATATATAATGTGTAATTCTCTTGCACATCTTGAGGGAAGATGACAGAACAGCAGAGTCCAACCCTGTTCTGCAGGCTCTGGTTGCAGCACGCTGTGACAATCCATCCTTGGCATGCCTTGGATGCCAAAACCTGAAACTGAGTCAAAAATGGGCAGGCAAATAACTTATCCCTTTGACTTACATGCTGGTTCTCTGCGTTGTGGAGCATCCCAGCCAGCACCAATTGCTGTCTCATTATGCGAATGACTTAGCATCCTTCCTGACAAGCCATGGTGTCTTGTGCAACAATAATTTGGCCATATTTTGGATGTGAGAATGAATGTAAAACTGTGAAACATGAAATGAAGTGGCATTTTGCAGGATACACTTTGCTAGGCATCGCTGAGCAGTAGAAAATCTGCCCGTGACTGTGCTGCTCCGATCATCCAGCACTCACCCTGGCAGCAGAAAGGGGTAATTTGCAGACCTGGCTAAAACCAAAAGCCCAGCAAGGTGAAATGTGTCCCATATCAATGGAAAGACCCACCTGGCAGACAGCAGGGCTACTTGGTATAAATTCTGTTATTCAAAATATGTAGCAAAAGCTCTTAGACCACCTGAGGATGCTTGATATTTTGGACAAATTTCCATCTAGTTGGGAACTGCTGGTATGTTTTTCTTCCGGTCATTCAGAAATATCTTTACCAGATATAGGATTCAGTTTAAATGTAATATCTGTGAGTGAATTGCATGTCTTAGAACCCACCAAAGTGAGCAGAGATCTGTTTGATGCAGTCAGGGCATCACTGCAGCTACAAACCAGTGCAAAAAAAGACCCTTCTCAGATACCCCATCACTGAGTTGCAGATGATGCTGAGAAGGGGCCGTCAAGCAAGGCAAAAGTGCCCCGTCCTGCCACAGAAAAGTGCTTCCAACACAGCGACACAGCGGGCTCTTGCTGAAATAATTCATTACTCCAGCTTTCCATTTGCTCTAAAAATATTCTAAAACAGCACTGTAGAGGCTTATAAATGAAATATTCAGCTCACAAGCCCAAATACTACTAAACGAAAGTGATTTTTCACCAATGCTCAGATTTAATTTTACATATTTTCCCTTTCCCCCTGCATTTTGAATCAAGGCGAGATCCCTATTTCCTTTATTTATTTTGTGTTTTTACTTAAAAACAAAGAAGACGAAACACCACAATGTGCGTGGCCGGCATCTATGAGCTAGCATAGTTTTTCTAAAAAATAAAATGGCAGGAGGAATGAAATCCATCTAGAGTGACATTCTCTCTTGTACATACTTCTCTGTGCTTAATATGAAATTTTCACATAAATCCTTTGGATTCAGATGAGTATCACAGCACTAATTGTAATTTAATGGCTGCTAATGAAGAAAAGCAGCCAGCTGTTGAGCCTTGCAGAGCAAAACGTGGCCAGTGGGCTGCGAGCGCGGGGCTAGCGGAGACTCAGAATGCCAGGATTTGGCTTCCTTTTGGAAAGAAAAAAGCCAAGTTACAAGCCCCAAATTAAGATATGGTGGGCTAAAAGGGACAATGGGCACAAGCTACAAAAAAATAAAAAGAAAAAAGAAAAATCAATGCGAATGCTTTCTGGGAAGAAAAATCTATCAGCGCACATGGCTTGTGTGAGGTGTTCGAGGGTTGCTATAGTGATTCCGGGGATTCGTTTGACCGGCGTGAGGAGCGAGCACAAAATAGCGGCAGAGCTGATCCGCTCCATGTCTGATCCAAAGCCCATTGAAGGCGCTCAGCACCTTTCTGTTGACTTCAATGAGTTGCGGATGACGCTTCAAGAGCGGCACTTGATAGCTCATTTCTTTTCACATCAAGCCCTTTCATGTCCCCTAAAAGGTTCCTGCTGCAGACTAGCAGAAGGTATTGCTCAGCCTATCAGGTTTTGGAGATATGCTTAATTTTAAGTACAATCGACCCAGTGACTTCAAATCTAGGAGAGAATTAGATAGAAAAGTCTTTCCGTCACTGCAAAGGCGGAAAAATCCTCCCGCTCAAAGCATCGTGCAGAACTGAATAGCGGAGCCAATAGTCTGACACACACTTCATTTTTACAATGTTGGGAGGCTACGTTGGAGCTTTGGTCCTGCTCACTAACCACGGCATATCGGGACAGGACAGTGAGCTCCCCTTAGCTGGTATAAAAAAGAAAAAGAAAGCAATGCCATAATGGCTTGCTATTAAATATAAAGTTAAACAGAGTGAAGCATTCTGTCAGACTAATAAAAAGTATATCCCTGACACCCCTTTCATCTTTCTCCAAAGTCTTTAAGTGTTTAAGCAGTCGGCTCACCAATGACATATTGCATAAACGCTTTGCTATTAGGAGTATTTTTTTCATTATGAATCTTTTAAGTGCCAGAATATCTGATAAATTAAATTTTGATTTTCTTCATATGACAAATGCGTAATAGTTGTCTTAGATTCTTTCTGCACTCTGATTTTTATCTGTATTTTATTACAGTAATAATAACATCTAATAAACTCTTTCATATCTGTCTTGTTCTTTCTTAAGGTCAAAATTACATCCAGAAGTAAAAGTGGCAAGAGATTTCTTCCTGTCTTCCTTTTAGTAGTTTAAGGGAATACATTACCATTTGCAGACATGTAATAGCAAATTAGGAAATCTAAATAGGAAAGAAAGAATTTCTTTAATATACGCTTGGTAATCAGAAAACTAGGTATCGGTATTTCATTACGACGACTAATTTTCAATCTCACGGGTAAATTAGATGCTATTACATCAGGTTATCTATTTCTCTTCCTTGCCAATAACTGGTGAAGAAGGAATAAAACAATATTCCTGCAGCTGTCTTCATGCAGACTGGCTCGTGTTCTGTCGGATTTGTGCTTTTCCTGCGCTGGGTGCCTCGCTGGAAGGCAGGGCTCGCTCGGCAGGAACATGGGCTTGTGGGCAGGTGATGGGGGCCAAAGCCAGGGCTGGTACCAAAAGTGCTGCAGGAGCAGAGCTCACATCTTCCCCTGTGCCCTTTGGTGGAGACCACCCTTCTGCTGCTCACCACCAACACCTTGTTAGCTTCAAAAACCTCCAAGAATCAACCAGTTGTGACGCTGCTGATTGGAGATGGCCTGATAAACATAGATTCATGTTTGACGGCTGGAGAAATAATTGAGTAGATGTAAAGAAACCCACCTATGGTCACATACTGAACTACATCCATAGCCGAGCTGCATTTGGGCATCCCCGGCTTCCAGACCCGCTCCTCAGTCCCTAGACAAAGGGACCTGGGCCAAAATTCCTCCTCTTGCTCCCTAAACATGTCCAACTTTTCTATTTCTCTTAATTTAGCTAAGAAAAAACAGAAAAGGAAGCCAACAACATGCCTTTTCACAGGGTAATGGGTCTCCACTCTCTGGAAAGAAATTTATGGAAGCATATTAACAATGCTACAAGCCAGCATTTCTATTGATTTTCATATTTTCCTCTTTGAACTGAAAAAGAAGCCCTATGTCATGTTTCCATCAGCATAAAAGTTAGTGTTAAAAAAAACATAAACATAAAAGTTAGTGTTAAAAAGTTAGCAATGGCATCCTCGGATCCTTATTTGCTGCAAGAGATCACTGAGATGATAATACTTTATTCTTTCCAAAATAAAGGCAGACTTAACGTTGGGAAAGAGCATTTTGTGAGGGTGGTGGCAGCAGCAGTGTGGGCTCCCAGTGTGCGGTGGGGACCAGATCAGGTCGTGGATGCCAGGACCACGGCTGCAATCCAGTCGGATAACCTACATTTTACTGTTTGGCTCTATGCAATTGAAGGGAGTGCAAGATTTGTGGGGCTTGGTTGCCTTCTAGCAAGATTTTTTTTGTATGTGCAGAGATTTCTTAAGGCAAATCGTAAATAAGGGGGTTTTCCTTGAAGCCCAGATTTTTAAAAAGGGGATGGAGATCTGTGCAAGCAGGATAGAGGCTCTCTACCCTTCACTGCAAGATTTGGTTATCTATCTGCAAAATAAATGCAAAGAATTCTTGCAATTTTTAAAGCTGCATGTGTGGTTTTGTTGGCTTGCAGATAACTGAGTTTTTCATAGATAGCCAAGGCAGAAACACAGCTGTTTGTGCAGAAAGGGGTCCCTTTTGCATGGAAATTACACAAGTCAAACTGAATTGTGCAAATCAAACTGTATAAGAATAATAATTACCCACCATTTTCCTTAAAGATTTCTAAAGATCTCAATTTCTAAAGGTCATGAGGTGTCACCTGAACAAGAGCTGTGGGAATAAGTGACCTAGATGCTGGGGCACCAGGTCCCCTGGTCCTACCTGAGGCTCAGCAACAAGAACTGCTGCAAGAACTTGACACTGAGTAGGGAAATATCAGAAAGGCTCCATGCACTGGTTTATTGTTGCTTCAAACTCAAAATGCATCGCGTGGACACTTTGCACCACCTCCATGCCAACACTTACAGCTCGCTACACCACTATGAGAGGAGACGGCCGCAAGGCAAAATTCACACAAATGCAACTCTGCAGGTGACCTTTCCTGCAGAAAAGATTTACAAATCTACAAACCAAATGACTTTTTTAAAGTTTTTTTTTTTTAATGGAAAAAATAAGGGGAATTAACCAAAGGAAAACATGTATTCTGGTGCAAAATTTCCCAATGCTCTAACTCAGGAGCTAAAGCCAGCTCTGACATTGCCATCAGCTTCACTTGGCTTGCAATCTTCGCAGCAAACATCTGGGTGCAGGATGAAGACACTCAAATATTTGTTCCCACCATTTTTATCATAAAAAAAAAAAAAAAAGAAATTATTTTAAGCGCAGAATTAAACATCAAGTGCTAAAATTAAGACTTGGGTTTCAAACACTTATTTATGACTTTGCTCTTCGAAAGGAAGTTTTTTTAATTCCTGATCCGACACCGTTGCGAAAGGACCTCTTGTTGAAAGGTGGCTCCGGGTAAGGCTTCAGGAAAGGCCGCTCTTTGCTCCTGTCCACCTTAGCTAAGCAGCTATTCAGCAGCATGAGGCAGTAATCAGATTTCCCATAGAGCTGGCAATTCAAATAAAAAGGATTACTCCTCTGAAGAAAAAAAAAAAATCAAAAAAATAAAATTTTAATTTGCCAGGACTTGTTCACTATAAAAGGCAAAGCAGAAACACAAAAACAATTTATGCCTGGAACGATAAGGCTGACCTAATATTTCCTAGGGGTTCATTGCATTCACAATCACACGTTTTTTTTTTTCGTAGCTTTACAGAAAACGTAACTGCTACGTTTGTGATATAAAACATAGCTGCTGTTACTGTTACTTCAGGAGCTGTTTCCCATGAGATTGAGCTGCTGTGGCAGGTAACACAGGTCCCCCAAGTTTACTGATGTACAAGGAGAGGTTTTGGTTAACAGCACAACTGCACCCGGTTGCACTCATGAAATCATCTCGTCTCAGTGACAGGTCACAGAAAATGGAAGTATCTGCAAAGCAGAAATCCGGGGGAGAAGGATTTCTACCAGTTACGGTGAGTAATTGTAGTAGTTATGACTGAAGTTAATAATGACAAAATACGGGTGGATTTGCAAAAAGACTAAAATCCATAAAGCATTATGTTTATGCTCCTTCTAGCTTGATGTTACAGAAAGGCACAAACTACATAAAAACTGCACAAATTCAAATTGCATTTAAAATAACATTAAATACAAACTAAAATGTTTCCTGACATATCTATAGTTGTTAGGTGCGTCTTTTATCCCACCACGATTTACAAGCTGGCCTAAGGGGCATTTACAGCATGCCTCGCTAAGATGAGCTATAATTCAGCTTGCTATTGCTTATATTAATATTTTTACTAACGGCTCTGCTCAAGTCCCTACCCACGCAGCCTTATTTTTATTTTCCCACTTGCTGGATTGTTTCCTCCAAAGTGAGGTTTCTCCCTGACATGAAGAAATACTTCCTGCAGGAAACAGGGAAGTTTCCTTGCAGCCTGGGCCGGGATTTATGCTCTTGAATAAGTAGGCTAATGTATGTGTTATATCTCTGGGCAAGGCAGTGATTTATGCTAAATAATTAAGCTCATTTTCCCCATTACGTTGTCAGTGCCATGAGCCCGGCTGGGATGCTCCCGGGAGCGGAGCGTGTTTGCAAGGTCCTGGATCCCTATATCCTCTGCCCGACTCCCTGTCACAGTAATTTGCTCGAGACCAGACCCTGGAAGAATATTAGTACTCTTTTCTTTAAATAATCTGGCTGCTTCTATTTTACAGACTGTTCAGCTCCCTTTCATGGTTCAATCAAACTCATATTTGATCCTAGGGAATACTTTTTCATAATCTCATATGAGAAAACAACAGCTCTTCTGTGTTCTTCTCCTTTAGCTATACACATAATAAAAATGGTTAATCTGTTTAGTTGTGCTGTATACAAACTAGATGACAGCAGTGAATTAATCTCAGAGCCATACCTAGACTATTGTGCCTATTTCAGATAGCCAAGAACGATGCTGAAATGGATGGCTGGTGTTTTTCTCCTTTCCATAGAACACTTGAACTTCCGCAAGAGCTCCCCACATTATAAATTAAATATTCAGTGGATTTCTCACTTGATTGTTTTAGACGTTTGCATGTTTTATTAGCAATTAAAGGTAAATAAGAGTTATATTCCAGGAAAACTAGATAATAATATTTATCTCATAGTTTTAATGAGCTTCTTATGATTCATTAAAAATATTAATCTAACAAAATATCTAGGTAAGAGCAATGAAATATCAAATCTTCAAGTAAAAAGGGAGTAGGACTTACCAGGGAAGGGACAACTGGGTAACTCGAGCACATGAATGTTGCTGAGATCCAAAGAATGAAAACAAGGTTTAATCTGCATAGACTTCAAGGAAAAAACAGAAATCAGTTTATATTTAAAACGAAGAGATGCAAAACTGTAAGTATATATGTACAATAGCCCACGGACACATCTTTACCTGATCATTTTTTGCTCAGGAGTGCAGCAATGCATGTGCAGTTGTACTACCAAACTCCTCACATGTCCCTTCAGCTCCTCCTTGGATGACCATTTTATACCAGAGTTCAGGAGTGAAAATGTCATCAAAGCTGATTTCATTATGACTAATTGGTCCGTGTTTGGCCTTTTATTCTTGTTAAACAGGGAAAATGGCAAGCAGGCACATTCAGCTGCCATCACAAAATCACCAATTGATTTCGTTTAAAACGTCCCATTAAAATGTCTCTCCAGTGGGTTGGCTGCTCAGGCTGTATCATCTGCACAGATATGGTCAAAGGTCTAAAGAGTCCAAAAACACATTTCAAAAATGTCGCCACTTTTACAGTATATCTTATGAACACCCTACAAAGCCTGGCTGCAAGGGAAAAACAGTCAAAATGCAATTAGAAGGGATAGTTCCTCAGAAAACTTATTTTATATATATATGTATACATGCATATGTAACTGTCGGTCATATACATACATACCTACATGCATATCTATAAAACATACTATTATAATTACATATATTACTACATTATGATGCAAAGCTGCTGGGTCATGTGGACAGCTTGTGCTCGACTTCTTTCCACTGTCAAAACTCAAGGTGACTCCATTTAAGTCAAGTTATGGGGACTCTGGAAGGAATCGCTTTCCGAGCCCTGGAAGATTCGGGAGCTGCTATAAATTAGGGCAATTCTGACTTTGACATTGAGCTTCTTGATGTAGCTGCAATTAAGTCCAGGAAGCTGAACACCATGAGGTCTTTGGATGAGGCCTGAAGAATCACAGTGGCATTTAAGATCCTTTGTCCCTTTTAGAGAAAAAGTCACCAGTTGAGCCAATATCATGGCTGAACGTTCTTCATTGCTGTACAAAGTGGTATTGGTCGTGTCAGGGTTTGATAGAATGCAGGGAGTCTCAAAGGACTCCTAAAATGTACATGTTTGCAGTTGCTGCTGCAGTACTTCAGGATCCTTCAGGACCAACAGAGCTATAGAAATTCAAGATGAAATTAGGCTAATTTGAACACTGTGGTAACCAATGCATTTATAAAAACTGTCAGAAGAACATTTGACTATTTGCATATTCAGTATGTGTCCTTCTATTCAGAGAGAAAATCCTTTCATTGGAATTGAACATCCTGTCCCAACACACACGCAACCTCCAACTCCAGCAGATAAGCGGATTAGCTCGATGTTTCTGGTACAAAGGAAAGCACTTTGGGCTGGATTCTGCTCGAGCAACGTTTAGCACTGGTTTCCATTGTATCTGCCTTTCGTTAACTCCATTTTAATACAAAATTAACCTTCACAGAACATTCTTTCTGAAAGACGAGGGATGAGAGGAGCCTCCTGAAGTTCAGGATATGCAGGTTCTACACGGGGCAGTACCACCCACTTTCTGCACAGTCTTTGCTACATTAACTTGTTTTTTGGCATTATTATTAATAAATTCAAATTGCATGACTTTCCTTCATGTCTGGTCAGCACTTCCTCCTCCCACTTCTATTGCATCCTTTGGAGGAGTGTTTTGCAGGCTGTAGAGGCCAGGCAAGAGATGCAGGAGAACAGCTCATTGGAAAAACCAAGGAGCTGGGCCAGACTTATACCTCTGCCTGCCACGTCTCTGGTCCCCCATTAACTTTGGTGGCAATCACAGCAAAACTAGCAAATATACTTGTCCAAGTACTTCATATGGCAGGTGGGAAAGGGGGAGACCCATGGGACAACGAGTCTCCTGCACCCTTTGGAAAATCAATAGCAGCTGGTCTGAATAGGAGGAAGAAATCTATAGTTAATCTGAGAGTTTCTCTGTATTTCATTCATGCCTGTGTTATAAATGATCACAATATGACCTATTTTTAACACTTCCTCAGGATTTGGAATTATTTTTGAGACTGACGCAATTACGTAATGTCTGTCTCTCTCACCTTTTAATAGCTACCATAATTTTCTTTTTCCTGTGGAGGACTCGTTGAAATTGTGCAGGTTTCATGGGATTTTTGTTCGTAGACAAGCAGATGCATGACCAAACTACCCTTCCTGTTTGATGAAATAGTCTATGAAAATTGTTTTTATCGTCTAGCTTCTTATGATGACTTTATCTAGAATAAAATTGTTTAACTTGCTTAGAGTTCCTGCTTAAAAGGCACAAATGTCACCTATGACAAACTGCTGTCCTCAGGATCTTACTGTCATGGGGAAAAGGCAAGTAATGTGTTTTCTTTTTCTTGTAAAATTTCAAAGAAAAATCCACATTCCGAAAAGTTTTTGCCACAAACTGCTCTTCTATGAGGCAGACACAAATTTTAGTAATGCTGACGGGTGTTATTGAGACATTACTGTACCGATATGTACATCCCGATTTGTACACTTCTAAAAAAACACAGAAACACCGTAAAATTAGTTACTTTCTATCACAACAGAAGGAGGACTCAAATACATCACCTTTCATCTCCTTGTTTGAATAGATTTTTTCCTAGCTTTTCTAGACGCACTTCAACCTACACAACTGTATTTGTATGCATAAGGTGTATGCTGAGATGGAGATGCATTCCAGATATTCCCACTTCAGGTTTAGAGGAAACAGGGACAAGTGGCAATTGACATTTCTGTCCTCTCTTCTGCCTGGAGAGCCCCCGTGCGAGGCCCCAGTCGCAGGCAAGGTTCACAGGAACCATTAATAAGCGTGATAAACATTCCCAGCACCCACAAAAAAAAATGCATTTTGGGGGTGTAAATTAGCGACAGCAACTTGTCCAACAACAAGGGTGTCCTTCCTCCTGCTTGCCACCTTCTTTCTTTGCCTTCCTTCTTTGCCACCTGGAAACTCTGCTCGGAGGGCAGAGCTTTTCAAGCTCGCTTGGGAATCTAGAATCGCAGGCGGCTCGGTTTGCTTGGGGATCATAGCGAGGTGCAAAACGGAAATTAATCATCCTTGCGGGCTAGAAATCTGCTCCCGACTCAGTGATAATAGGAAATGCCAGCAAGTTGCGGGGAGGCTGGGGAAGCAGAACGCAGCAAAACAGGGTTTTCCCTTAGGTTGTTATTGCTGTTTTCTCACTGTCAGCAAGGGAAGGAAAGAGAACCTCGCGCTTGTGCAGCTGAGCAGATCTTGTCCAGCGAGGCACCAAGGAGCTGAGAAGTAGCCCCAGGCCCTGCCATTTCCATGCGTCCTGCTCCTGGGAATTTTTGTAATCCCTTCAGCTTTGGTTAAAAAGAATAAGGTCATGCCACACTCTGACTAATTACAGGAGCATGGAGATGTCCATTGGAAGCTGGGGGCAGGAAGGATGCTGAGTCCTCCCCAGGGGAGCTGTGAAGAACCAATGTCCACCTGAAACAGCCCAGGCAAGATTTACCAAGAGCAGCAATGAGCAGATATGACAAAGAGCATATAACCAATGAGCAGATATGATAAAGTGTGTACAAGCCCAGGATCCCCGATGAGTTTCGCTGCATTTCACGGCACTTGCCTCTGCAGAACTATCCCCAAACAGGGTCTGCTCCTGCACTAAGCTGGCACACTCCAGGCATCACCTTAAAGACCCACGGAACAGTTTTCCATATCTTAGAATATCATAGAGTTCAACTATCAACAGGAGAGACTCCAGCCACACACCTCTGTGTGCAGCTTTGATCAACGAGGAGAAAAGGGAAATCAAAGAGGCCTTAAAAGGCGAGGGCACATTGATGTTCTGGTCTGATTCTGCTCTGACCCAAGCATTCCTCAAAGCTTTGAGAGCTTTGGGAATGAGGAAAGGTGCAAACAGCAAACGGTGCTGGAATTCATCAGGACCAGGGCGTCCAATTTATGGACACACAGATGATGTTCCTTACACTAGAGCATAGTCCAGCTCCTCCAGCTGGTCTGAGAAGGGCAGCCCCAGCATAGCTATTGCAGAAGAAATTAGCTTTGGAGTCACACTTAGTGCATCCTGCCCTCAGACTGATTCCAAAGCAAGTGTCATTATTGATATCCTCGGCATTTTGAAGTCTGCATTATAATCTGTAATTCTGTTCCTATTTTTCCCAGTTACAGTTTAAGTACACAGAGATTATGTGGGCAGATGAAGGATGAGTTTCTTCAGACAGGTCTGACAATCCCCATGCTGCTGGTATGGACTTTGGTGCATGGTATCTTGCAGTCCTTTTGTGAATTGCACAAATATCTTTCTGCTGACACCAGTTCCGTGTTAAGTTCTGCTGGAAATGACAAGGATAACTCTTTTGGCAAAAAAAAAAATTTTACCCTGGCAGAAAATATTTCAGATTTATAAATGATACTAAATTTTGTCTGATTCCTCAGCATGTCTTCAGAAAAGAAGTATAAGAAAGGAAAAAAAACCCCTCTCATCATTTTGTATGCACAACCACCAAATGTTAAAGTCATTTGATAATTTATCTAGAAATGAAAATTAAAGAACCTCACAGCAGCAAAACTTACTCAACCCATTAAGGACAGACTCAGCAACTGAGATGTGGCAGTAATTAACATTTCTGCTGTGCTGATTTGTGTGTGTCCATGGAATTTCTGCCTTCTGAAATGTCTCAAAGACATCTCACCGGAGGCTGCTGCCTAAGAGAAGATGTCAGCCCTGAGCTATAAAGACACCTGTCCAAGCTGCAACCTAATTGCTGGTCATACGGAACAAGGACCTCAATGTTCTCAGCATGAAGTAAAGATGAGAAGAGAGCCAAGAACGACCAGGATGAAATGCAAGGCCGCTTGAATACACAACATCTGTCACCCGCATCATTTCCTCCACGGACAGTCCCATTCTGTTGGCTTCAGCAGACACAACGAAAACAACCAAGGGGCCTCTGCTTTGGTGCAGAATTATGAGAAAATGTGCAGATCACAAATCAGGGGTGGCCCATCACCTCCCAAACAGGCTGATGAGAGGACACCCCTTATCTTCAGTGCTCAAAGCATTTTCCATCCACCCCACCTGCTCTGTTCTCTAACTCACTGCTATTTTCTTTCCACTTGTCCGTATCACTTCAACAAGGAGATGGCATTCTGTTTGGCATCCTCCTCCACAAAGAAGCAAAGACCCCCTTGATAAAAGTGACCTCCTTGATAGAAAACAAAGAGCCGCTGAACCCTGGAGCAAGTCCCACACTGCACCCATATCTGCACTTGAAAACTTGACTGGAGCAAACAGAAAATCCAGCCATTTCCCTGCCTTGCTCTGAGCCCAAAAGCAGAAGGGAGGGGGCAGCACGTCCCGGCATCCACAAGCCGTGGTACCTTTCTTAACGAAGGCAATGGCAGCAGGGACCACGGTTTGATGCCTCCTGTCGTTGGATAAAAGCCCTAGTGTAGGACAGGGCTTGCGTTGCCGTCTTGCAGCTCAGTGCTCAGGCTGACGTGCCTTTTGCCTGCACAGATGCTACAGAGCCCCACTTCCCCTCATGTCCCCAGCCCTTCTGAAAGGCTTTCTCCAAGAAAGGTCGATGCCAAAGGCCAGAACTTGTGTTTTTCCTCTCTGAAAAGCTGTCTCCGCTGACTCAACTTTCCTCGCTGCTTTAGCACAGGCTGCGACTCTATGACAAGTCGTTCCTGCTTCCCTGCTTGCTTTATATCACTTGTATTAGGGCTTAACCTACTAATCTGATCTGTTTTGCAGCCTTTATGCTCTGAATGCCCCTCTTAATGTCAGCATCTTCAGGCTCTTTACTAAGCTGTGCATCTCACCAGCTAAGGAGACCTGGAGGGGGCAATGGATATTCCCTACTATTTACTGCAGGGTTTCCTTGCCCCAGGCTCACAGGAACTGCTGCTGGACTCGCACCACCTGGAAACCACCATCTCGATTTAGTTGGACGCTGTATTGCCCAAACAAAGCCGCAGCCTACAAAAAGCCTTCCAAAAAAAATCCTTCTTTGTCTTTTCAAAGAGCCTCCCTGCTGACAGAGGGTTTTAATTCAAGCAGCAAAAGTTCATGCTTTTAAACCCAATTCCCATCACAAATATACACAGACTTCAATATTACACTTCCCAATAAGGACTAAATGAGTCTCAACCACTGCAGTCTGGTAGAGGGGCTTGGAGTGCATTTCCTTTACGGGTTTGAGAAGATTTCCTGCAAGAATCCATTTTTCCAGAACAGCGTGCCTGGAGAAAGTGAACTTTTCCTCAAACTCCACAAAGGAAACCCCAACACACTGTGCACTTCTGGCTTGCTTTCCATGCACACTTCAGCAGAGAGGTGCCCTGAGCATTGCCACTGGTGAGAAGCGGATCTGTGGGCTGAATTTGTGCTAGTTGGAAGTTCTCCTTTATGGAAAGCGACACATGCACCGTGCACGTGGTCCCGAAGGGCCTCTGAGCACGTGAGCTTTGGAAAGCAAAGCTCACCAAGTTCCCTGGCTCTCTACCACCACAAGACCATGTTACGTATTAGACGCCCCTCAAAACTCAAAAAACCCTATAATGCTACTCTTTGCCAAATTTCTAATATCAGTGTCACCTAAACCAGCAGGACAAGAGCTAAAAATACGCTAGTTCAGCTCATTGCAAGTGTCTCGTATGAGGGTAGGACAACACTCCGGGGAGGTGCTGAAGCTCATCCCATAGGGCAGGTCTCCACTGCAGGCAAAGGTACCACGGCAGTTGTGGGTGCATCAAGCCAGCTCAAACACCGCTAACGGAGCATCCAAGATGTAACCTGGAGACGCAATGCAAAGAGTTCCCAAATCATAGCAACGTCTCACGGTTCGGTGCTCCCGTGGTTACACAATGCACTTCTCAGAGGTAACATGTGAATTCTGAACGCCAAATTACACACTCTGCTCTTCAACCACTTCAGTTGCTTCGCAGTCCCCACGGATCACCGTCTGCAAGCTTAATATTTCTGATTCAAATGTCAGGGATACGAAATGCAGCACCCGGTAACTCCGAATTCCCCAGGGCCAATTTCTGCCCTACAACCTCTCCCATTGCCCTGTCGAATCCGGTGGGATTCGACACAGCATTAGCAGGGGATGGGGAAAGGTTTTGACAAGGAGAACACAGCATCCATGCAGTCTTTGTGCTCCCAACTCTGCTTCCTATGGCAGTTCAATTTTCTGCAGAAATAAATATAATAAAAGAACAGAATATTTCTACTGTTTTCCCCCAGTACGACGTAATCTTCTGGTTCTCCTTTTCCCAATTTTTCAGTTTTACTTTTTTTTCTCCTATGTGACAACAGTTCTCTTGAGAAAGGGGTATGTTTTAGGTTCATCTGACGCGTGTGGGCGCTGAGCACTGGGTCGCACACTGCTCACTAAAGCTGCATCCACTTCATCTTCGGTGGCAGGCTGAGCAGGGCCATGGATCTCTCTAACCGGAGCAGTCAACTATTCTTTATTC